CTTTTTACCTTGAGGGGTTTGTGAGGAAATATTGTTTTGGAGAAAAAAGTGAGAGAAAAGATTGGAGTGGGGGTAAGTTGCATAGATAGTCCATTTTAAGGTGTTTTTTTTGTAATTTTCCCTAAATTTTATTTCATTCCATAATATATCCACTTACGATATGAGACGTCCCACTCCTTTTATCAATGCACCTTGCTAAATCTTTAAAAGATAAGTTTCTTATTATCTTGTCCGTTAGTTCCTATTAAACATTTCTTCCTAATAGACTTGCCATCTCATGTCCCTAATTAGTTCCTATTAAACATTTTTTCCTATTAAACTTACCACCTCATGTCCTTAATTAGTTCCTATTAAACATTTCTTCTTAATAAACTTGCCATCTCATGTCCCTAATGAACACAAATTGGACTCATTTCATATAAATGATTATCCAACTTATTCATATCCAAAAAAAGAGGACATCAACTACCTAAAAAAACGTGTAATCATCTAGTCTTCATATTTTTTTAAAGACAAGGCTTCCAAAATAGAAAATGTAATATCTTTTTTTTTTTTTAAAGTCTTATTAGAGATTTAAGACTAAATATTGAGATAAATTCATATCTTGCAACAAATCACTAAAACAGAATCTTAATTAATAAACCAAATATAGGCTTCCCTAAAAAATAAAAATAAAAGATACCATAAAAAATAACCAAAGAATTTTTTCCAATAAAAGAATGTAACTCTAACTCCTAAAATAAATATAGTTCCTAAAAAGTAACAAAAAAATCTACCCACATCTCTAAAAATAAAATAAAATAAATAAAAAATAAAAATTTTGTAGCAACCTTGATCTACATCAAATTAACTAATATCAAATATAGTTCGATAAGTACCCACTTTATTTATTTATTTATTTATTTTTATTTTTCAGTAAGTACCCATTGCATAATACAAGGAAAAAGTTTACCTAAGGTTGCTACCTTAAAAATGTAGAATTAAAGATGGACCTCAAAAATCCATCATAAAATATTGTTTTAATGTTGAAAAACCCTCTAATTGATCATCTCGATATCGAGATGTGTGAATATGAAAAATAAAAATAAAAATAAAATTTGAGTATCGGAAATAGTACATATTGCAAAACATTATCTAGACAGTCCATTTTTAAGATTTTCATAAATTTTAATTATTTTTGGAGTTTAAAATTTTATAATTATACATGAAAATAGATTTTCAAATAATTCTAAAAAAAATTTACACTAAAATTACATATTATGATAAAATTTGAAGGTGCGCCTTAATTGAGAAACCACACCCTAATTACTTATCATTAAAACTAACCGCTAACACTACAATAACTACCCATTACATATATTCTTTAATATTAGGTTTCTCCACTACATCATCTATTATGGATTTTTATTTGTGTTCATGGGAGTTTTTATTGGCTTACAATTACCCGTCTGAAACATTCTCAATAAATCAGGGGCATGCTTTCTTGACATAAGAAAATTCCATAAGAATCTTGAATAACTTCCGTACCCAAATGTGGTACCCCTTTGATGTATGCTTGATTTTTGTGTTTATCTGTGACCTAAAATGTAAAAGACCAGAAAAAAACAAACAAAAAGAGAACCAACTTCAATTCATTAAAAAAAGTACATTGTGCTTACGTTGTTATTATCATTATCGGAGAGGAGGGTTGTTGCACTCCCCTTAGACCAGTGCTCTTAGACCATAGGTTTATAGAGGCAAGTAGGTAGTTGGATTGTGGACGTCCCCTTCAACTATGGACAAAGTTTAGCCGTACATTGCCGGCCGGCATCGGATGAACATGAATAATAGCCGACAATAATGCTTCATTCAAGTTTTAGGAATTTTTGGGATTTTTTTGAATTTCGTATTTTCTAGGGATTTCAATCTATTTCTAAGGATTTTCTAAGGCTTTTTTTTTTTTTGGTGTATTTTGGATCGAGTATTTAAAAGTTGAAGTAAGGTTAGATTGGAAATTAGATTGGTTCAATCCAAGGGTATAGATTGAGTCAAAATAGTTAATTTTATGGATTTTTGTTGACTTTTGACCAATTGAAAATCAACCTGAAGACCCACGGGCCCAAGCCCATGTGTGAGGCACAACGCTCATCCTAAGTAGGTTTTTGGACCTATTTAGGGTGAGCAGAGCTGGTAGGATGAATCAAAAGAGTTCTAGTTCTATAACATGACTTTGATCTATAGATAACAACGTTGTGATAAGGTTGTAATGCCAGAGGAATCATTACCGTGGGGCATAGAGGGGGATGTCATAGGGTCTATACCGTAAAATTGCTTTCGACGGAAATTTAAAAAATTATGGTGTTTTTGAGATTTTTATTTATGGAATTTTTTAAAACTTTTTTCTATTTTTAAGTATTTTTTTCCTAATTTTTAATTTCTAAGGATTTTATCCTCTTTACAGAGGATGTTTTTTATCTATTTTGCAGGGATTTGGTTTTTTTTTTTTTTAATGCACAAATCTCATAAAACAACCTCTAAATCTATTGACAACTCAAACAAAGCACATGAAGACACAAATTGCATTCACCATTAAGTCCAACGGTTCACTAATAGCTTTGAAAAGTAAGAAGAAGGTTATATTACAAGGAAGTCACAATTACTCGTAACTATTAGATGTCAAATTTGAAAGGATTGGGGTATATGTTACGAAGTTCGAAAAAAAATTTTTGAAAGTTGAGTCTAGTCATTGATATTGGTACAGCCACCTAATTTGAAATAACAGAGACAAGAGTGATTATGATCTCCTTATACTAAAAATAAATAGTTGTTTTGCATATAATTCCATTTAAACCAAATTACTTTGAATTTAAAAAGTATATAAAGGCACCTTTAGATCTTGAACGCATGTACAAGCTCGGTGGTTGGAAGATATATATATATATATATATATATATATATATATATATATATAGGGGGAGGTTTGAGGTTAGAGTGAGATTGCGAGGGCTTGGGTTAGAAAGAGAAGAGAGAGAGAGTGGGACTAGGAGGGAATGAGGGTTAGGGGTTTGAATGGAGCTTTCAAGTCTAACTCCCTATACTTTAAAAAACTTCTAGGTATGGAGTGCTCCGATATTGAAGATATCCAACTCCCCCTACTTTAAAAGTGTGGATTGCTCCGATGTTGAAGATATCCAACTTCTCCCTACTTTAAAAACATTTTAAGTATGGGGTAGTCCAATATTTGGAATATTGAAATGGACTAATAAAAAATGTTAGGGCAGTTCGATGTGTCCAACGTCGGAGTGCCTCCAGAAATTAGACAGTCCGATCTCTGAAGCATCAACTATACTAGAATTTACAAAATCAATAAAAAAAATTTCAGTGGTTCGATGTTTGTGACATTGACCTAGGGAAAAATTGGAATAACAAAATATGAAAGAGGACCTTGGTATAAAATTAGCCAAATTTTAGACCATATGATAATTCCAAATTTCATTTTTTATCCTTAATAATTTTACTTTCATATCATCCAATTATTGCTTATTATACTATAATTTTAAAAGGAAAATTGTTTTATGATGGTTGGACCGCATTTCTACAATATGCGGTCCAGAGGTAATAGGTGGTCCATCTAAAAAACAAGTGTAACTAACGGTCCAAATGTTTTGTAATATAATTATTATTTTTAGTTTTCATTTTCTTTTTTTCATATTCATGATCTTCATGTTAAAGATTATATATTCTCTAAAAATTAGGAACAAATTATATTTAAAAAATATATTTATTGCCAAGCCTGCATTTCTGCCATATGAGGGCTGCCCGCATAGAAACTGGGCCCATTTTAAAATTATATAAGCTGATGACATACAGAAATTTTATACAATCTGATGACATACAGAAATTATGTACTCAAATTATACACTATAATGACTATATCGATTATGTATTCTAATTGCTTTAACTTTGTGAAAAATAATATCTACTAAAGTAGATGATATGCTCTTATTCTATTTTGCAGAAGAATTTCATGGGTGAGAAAGTCAATGAGGGATGACTTGCAAGCAAAAAGAGAATCCCTTGACGCAATAACTCTTGAGGTAAATTGGGGCGCAAGAGAATGTCATGCCAGAAATTATTTACATTTATTATGATTACCAGAACTTAAAAGAGAACAAGCAAATCATCATAAATTGTCATTGGCTTTTGAAATAGTCAGATCCTTCAACTCGAGCAACTTCTTTTTTTCAAGTAGGCATCAACTTGAGAAAAGGAATGTCTACTTCAGGCTTCAACAAAGGAATATGGATGTTTCTCTAGCTAATGGCAATTTTTTTAATTTCACTGGTTGCCTTCCAATTTTGTCAACAATGAATGCTAATAACTTGAGAAAAGCATGATGCCGCATGTGCTTCACTTCAATAATCATACCTGCTACATTTTCATGCAGGGTCCTTAGAGACCATGGTTTGGGAGCATCAGCATGCCCTTTAAGAACCATGTTTTTGGATCATTCCTAAACTTGTGAGTTCTATGAAATTAAAATATTTTTACAAGCTTTGGAATTGTCGACAACTCTCTATATGGTAAATTATTTGAGATTATTTGACATGGCTTTTAAGCATGTTGAAGATGCAATTGAAATGTTTATTTGAGACGGAATAATTTGACAGGGGCCATCAATTTGCTAGCATCGTTCAAACTTTGAATGGTTGTTTCATGCACTGAAGCTAAAGCGAGAAATGAAGAAAACCTCTCTCTGGAATGAAGAGATCCCATCTCTCGCTCTCTCTCATTCTTGGAATGAAGAATGCCGATCTCTCTCTCTGAGATTGGTATGTTTCCGCTTACCACATTTATTTTTCTCAATCAAGTGGAGTACTTGTTCTTTCTTTAAATTAAATGGTTAGAGGTGGTGGCTGAAAACAGACATGGTCCATTATTTGTTACTGAAGGGTATCGATAGAGGAACCAAATTAATCTCTGTAAAACTTTCTTTAATGGAACAAAAAGGTTAGGAATCATTTGGTACAAGTTATATCTACTCTTCTTTTCCAAATGCCTCAGAGCTACACCAGATATTTAAGCAACCACAAATAAAGAACAAACGATTTTAAGATTTTATAAGCTGCCTCTGTCTTGTCTATCATGCACTCCAGCACATGTACCCTTTTTAGCACTCTTCATCACTTGCTTCCAAACCTATTGTTTTAGCCAAATCGAGGGCTGCATACACTCCAAAATTGCTCTTTCATCCTCAACACTACTCTAAGAAAATTCCACTACACAAATAGAAGGACCACCCTTGTAAACCAATCAAAGAATCAACGAATCAAGGTATTATGTACAGGTCCGCCATAAGATATCCAACAGGTTCGCCTTGGAGAAGAGACATCCATCAATGAGAAGCAGCCCACTCAAACTCATGACTAATTCACAAGATTTGAGAGTACTTGCTCCAAGTGGGGCATCATAACACTAGAAAAGCCTTAGCACATTAATCATACCCTTCCTGATTCATAATCTTCTCCATGAGCCAGCCCAATGAGCTCTACAGCAGTGATTTCACCACAAGAAGTCATTACTAGAGAAAAGCATAAAAGATGTATGTCTATGTTTCTCCCATTTTGGGGGTTCGAAGCTGCTCAAAACCCTTCAATGTCGAGGAAGTGAAGTTCACCATTGCCTCAAATATCCGCTTCAACCCCACTTGCAGATTACCAAATGTCGAAGTTCGTATCCTCTTCACTATCTCTGCATGCTTGGCATTCTCCTCTTCCAACCTCTTCTTCATTGACTGCAATGCCACCTTCCTCTCATGCAAAGAATCCCCACCCTCTCCTGAAGAGAACGACACAACCATCTTGCTTTCCTCCTTTTGCAAATGTTTGAGCCTCTTATTGAGATCCTTAGAAAGGTACTCCGTCTTGAGCCTTTGGCGCAGCTCCTCCCCATGCAATTCCCACAATTCATGCATGCTATTAGCAAATGCATTTATGGCTTCTGTCACTTCATCCTCTGATACGCTAGCCATTACTTGAAACCAGTCATTGCATATCACAAAAACAGGTGGAGCTCCCATCCGGCTTGGAGAGAAAGGAATGGGTCCATCAGGTGTCTCTTCAGGCACATGAACAAGGCACCTCAATAGCCACCCATACATGACCTCTACATAGGCCTTGTGAGCATTGACCCAGTTGTGAAAGCTGGAACACCAATTCAGGATCTCCAACTCGAGTTCAAGTGTTAGCTTCATTCGTGACTTTGTTGGTTTCGTTTGATTGTTTGCAAAGAGAATATTCACAGCTTTACCCTGTGCTATGGCCTGGCACTGCTTTTGGTGGCATTCAAACATGACCTTCCACATTCTCCTCAACCTGCATGAGAAATTAGGGGTTCAATGAAATATGAATCACAGCAAGGCATAAAGCAAAGGTAGCTTCTCTACAACAAGTTCACGACTGTTTTTCCGTACTTAGAAGTGGGGTTAAAGCAAAAGCAAGAACTTTTTGAGTCCTAAAACAAATAAACTCATGGTCTTTAATCTAGCCACAATGTTTTGAAATCAATTGGGATGAAGCATGGTAATAACATGATATTTATCCATATCAAAGTTCTTTCGAAGTGTAGAACATGCCAAATTACTAATTTCATTCATGATTGTTCTAAACAACTACTCCAATGGTTCTTGTAAAGAGACTCAAATTCAAGACTACAAATATATGAAGCAGCTATTGATTCAACACGACATGAGATAATATGTGAATCGTATTAGTTGAATGATTAAAGTATCAGACACGAAGTAGTATATGTTGATTTACCCCAAAAAAAGAACAAGTATATGTTGATTTCATGAAGGGCTCATCATAGAGTACACAAATGTTTCTTTGCTTTTCTATCAAGCATAAGGCATTCATTGCTCATCAGTGTTTTAAAATGCGGCCGCATCATGCGGTATGCGGTGGGCTCCGCATCTGAACTAACCGCATATGCAGTTTTGAGCTATGCGACGCATCGTAGCTGCATCGCAACGCAACGCATCTTTTCTACAGAAATTTTTTTTCGATTGGGGCAAAATGGTCTTTTTGACCATCCAAAAATGGGGGAAATAGTTTGGGGGGGGGGGGGGGGAGGGTGGGTATTAAACCCCCTAAAGGATGATTTACAGCCACTTTTTGACTTTTTTTGGATCAAATCGTGCAAAAAAAAAAAATTAGGTGGAAATTTTATTTTCATCCAAATCTTCGATTTGACTGTTGTTTTATACTTGGATGTTGATTTGATGCTTTTGATTGTTAATTTGGGGAAGTTAGGGTGAAAGTATGATGATTTAAAGCAACTTATGTGGCTTTTTTTTATCAAATCGAGCAAAAATAAAAAATTAGGCAAAAAAATTTTTTTCATTCAAATCTTTGATTTGGCGGTTGTTTAATACTTGGATGTTGATTTGATGTTTTTGATTGTTAATTTGGGGAAGTTAGGGTGAATTTGTGACAAGAAATCGAGGGTTTCAGAGGCCGTGAAGAAATCGAGCAGTGCTTCAAGAACCGGTAACTTTTTATTCCCTCTTGTACAGTAATATTGTAATACTTATTTTTGGGGCAATGTCTTCTTCCCAATCTACGACTAATAAGAATCCGGCTTGAAAATATGCCAAACTAAAAAATCCGAGGATAGATATTGTGTGATATGCTTGCTCTGTGGAAATACTTATATGGGTGGTATTTTTTGACAAAAAGAGCACTTAGCCGGAATTTCTGGGAATGTAAGAGCATGCCCACAAGCTACAGATGATACAAAAAAGGAGATTAGAGAATTACTTGGATAGATTGAAAAAAGATAAAGAGAAAAAGAAAAATAAAAAGAAAAGAATTACTTGAAGATGTACAATTATTTGATGATGATGTTGATGATGTTATGTCTGAAGTTGCTATGAGGCGGTTGCTCGTACTCCAATCTCAAGAGAGGGGATTATAAATATTGGTGGTAGTGTTGAAAAAAGAACACCTCCCAATATGGGGCCAATGGATGTTTTTTTCACCCCAAGCCCCGAAATAGTGGTGCAAGAGAGAGAAAAAAACAAAACAAACCACAATTGAAAATATATACAAGAAAGAACAAAGGAAATCGGTATGTAAGTGGATTGCAAAGTGGATTTACATGGTCGACATTCCTTTTAATACTATAACTATGGATAGTTTTCCATGTATAGTTCAGGCAATTGGGCAATATGGCCCAAGACTTGTTCCTCCTTCACTACATGAGGTTATAGAGCCCTTGTTGAAGGATGTTATATTTGATGTGAATAAATTTTTGATTTCTCAGAGAGAAGGGTGGGAGAAATATGGGGCCACTATTATGAGTGATGGTTGGTCCGATGAGAAGTCGAGGGCATTCATTAATTTTTTGGTTAACTGCCCAACAGGTACTTTTTTTGTTAAGTTTGTTGCTGCATCAGACAGGTCACATGATGCTACATACTTATGTGGTTAATGGATGAGATTGTAGAGTTTGATGGAGAGAAAAATGTGGTACAAATTGTCATTGACAATGGTGCCAATTATGTTGCAATTGAGCATTTCTTGACTTTGAAAGGATGCATATGTTTTGGACTCCTTGCCCAGCTTATTGTGTTAATCTTATGCTTAAAGAAATGGCTACATCTTTATTTAGAGGAGTGATTTCAAGAGCTATGTTTGTTGTTGGATTTATTTACAATCACACCATAGTCCTAAGCATGATGATGTCTTTTACAAAGAAAAGAGAATTAGTGAGAACGGGTATCACTAGATTTGGCACGTCATTTCTCACTCTTCGAAGCCTAGCCAAGCAAAAAAAGTGCCTTGAGGACCATGTTTACGTCAAAGCAATGGAGTAAAAAAAAATAGTCAAAGCATGAGGATGGGAGAAAGGCTGAAAAACGTATTCTGAATGCATCTTTTTAGAGTCAAATAATTCTTGCATTGGAGGTGGCTCACCTTTTAGTGAGAGTGCTTCGACTGGTTGATGATGATGTGAAGCCCGCCATGGGCTATATACACGAGACAATGACTAAGGCAAGAGCAGAGATAAAGGATGTTTTAAAGGATGAGGAAAATATGTGCAAGACTATACTTTAAATTATTAATAGGAGATGGAATACCTAACTTCATAGGCACCTCCATTCAACCGGTTACTTTCTAAACCCATCTCTTCACTACAAGCACCCATCCATTGAGTCTGATCGTGTAATAAATAGTGGGTTCTTAGATGTGCTTGAGAGGTTGGTGCCTGACAAAGATATCCAGGATGAGATCCAGAGCCATGAATTGATTAAGTTCAAGTTAGCCTTAGAAAACTTTGGGAGAGATTGTTATTCGAAATAGGGACACTACAGATCCAGGTAAAGGCCAAAAGTCACGTTACTTGTCTATGACTTTGTTTACCTTTAATTTTTATCTATAATCTAAATTATAAATTATTATACAGCTGCATGGTGGGCATTATATGGAAGCGAGACCAAATCTACAACGTCTTGCTATTCGAGTGTTGAATCTCATATGTAGCTCATCTGGTTGTGAACGCAATTGGAGTGCATTTGAGCATTTAAATCCTTAACTCCTTATTTCTTAATCCTTATTTCTTTAATTTCAATTTCAATTTTCAATTTTCTAATATAAAATCTAATTTCAATTTTCTACCACAGCTCCATACAAAAAAAAGGAATACGTTGGAGCAGAAAAAGTTGAATGATTTGGTTTATGTGTGTTACAATGAGCGGCTTAGGGAGAGGTATCAAAAGCGCATGAAGCTCAACCCTATTCAGTTGTATGAAGCTGATGGTGATTCTACAAGTGAGTGGACAATGGATCCAAGACTGAGCGTGTGTTTGAGGGTGAGGATCTTACATGGCTCGATGTCGAGCTAGCAACAGGGGCCAATGAAGAAGAACGACCTAACACTAGAGCATAAAGGAATAGAGGAGCAGCAGGAGTTGGGACTTGTCGCACTCGCACATCAGCTCCAGAGGTCGAAGAGGAGGAGGGAGACTCAGAGGAGACTAAGGAAGAAGAATATGTGGAGGCCGCCGAGGATGATATTGATGATGCACATGACGACTCTCAAGATGACTTTTCTAATTAATATTTGAAAATTTGACTTCAAAATTGTCTGGGATGATTGTATTAAGTAACTATTAACTCTTCTTGAGCTTGACTTCAAAACTCTTTAATCTTCATGGAGACATGGTGATATTATACTTAATCTTTTGTAATATTTAATAGTCTGGATGACACACGTTTCTTCCACAAAAGACTTCTTTTATCATGTAGATTTTCTATACTTAATCTTTTGTAATATTTTGGAGAACACATACGCATACTCACACACACCACCCTAAATAAATCATTATCATCATCTGAGCTTTTTCCCAATTAATTGGGGTCGGCTACATGAATCCTAGTTCTCCATTCTGCTATATTAAAGACCATATCCTCAGTGAGGCCATAAGCCCCCATATCTTTTCGAACTACTTCCAACCATGTCTTTTTGGGTCTACCCTTTGCCTTTTTCAATCCACCACCCTAAATAAACACACACATACACCACGCCCCCCCCCCCTCTCTCCTCCAAACAAAAAAAAAAACTCTCCTACCTAGCAATAACACGGGTCTCCAAAAATATATATTTTGCTTAATTCAAGTGATTGACATTCAAGAAATAAAAGCTTCCTAGGGTTTCGCACCAAGAAGTGAAGGACACAAAGAACACTCCATGGGCAGCATGTAAAAGAAACTTGAACTAGTGGACAGATTTTGGTTGGAAGTCTCCCTAATGCTACTGCAAATTCCGGTAGAGAAAGGTGTTATATGTCATTTTAGACGTACTTGTATCGCCGAGGCGAATAAGGAGAGAGTTAGTAGTAACCTGGTCACGCCGATACCAAGACACTGCCAGACCACGGGAACACTGCTGCAATAAGCCTAAAATTGGGCAATATCTAAAAAAGTGTCAGAATTGCTTCAAAATGCATGAGAGGTTAGTTTGGGATATCCTAAGGGCACTCGTAAAGTTTTGTTCTGACAATTTTTTATATGATCAGGATGAAACTTGGTTATCAAATCCAGTTCCTATCATGCTGAAAATGGACCCTACAACTACAACCCTATTTATGGGTCTCAAAACAGTACCAAACCGCTGCCATTAGATCCGGAATGTCGAAAAACCCCCAGGGACCAAATTTGGGCTCAATCAGATCTTCAAGAACCATGATGGGCCTAACTTACCATAAAAGTGTAGGTTTAACACTATTGTAGTGAAGCCTCGGTGAACCAGTTTCTACTTATGGAAACTGTATTTTCTCATTTCGGGATGATTTTTAAATGATCATATCTCGCTC